CTTAATGCTGTTGCTTAGCAACCAGCAAGGGAAGTGTGATAGCACCTCCTAGCACTGCCCATGGAACACAGCAGACAATACAAACAGTTCCTGGCTCCTCTCTGCAAGTAGAGGAAGGTAACTGTCAGAGGTGGCCAGCAGTATGCTCCAGAGATATTGGCTCATCACCCAGGGGCCCAAATTGGTTGTTGCTTTGCTTTTACTTGGCATCAGGTAATGTCTTCGTGGGGGTGGCTGGGTAGGTGGTTCTTGAAGGGCCGGATCTCTCTGCTTGCACTTGTTCTCAGGATGCCTGTGATGCAAAAGGGCCTTGCAGAATCCTCTCTGCTCCCACGCAGCCCTGCCCTGCACCAAGCCCGCGTCCCCCCCCCCCCCCCCCCAGCCACCGAGTTTCCTGCAGTCTTTTCCATTTAGAGATTGTTCCGCAATGCTCTGGCGCTGCCCTGCCCACTCCCCCTTCATGCAGCCCTCTGTGCCTCCAGTCGCTGATTCCTTTGCCTTTCAGATGCTTCGCCATGCTGTGGGACAGCCTCCAGCTCCTGAGGTCATCCATGTCCCCCCTGCATCTCTGTCCCTTACATTCCTTACAACCCAGACCACTGGGCCAGATGCCACACAAGTGGCATCTGAGGCCCACCTCCTGCTCTCTGTGGTGTCCTGGGTCATCAGAGACTGGGTCATTGTGATTTGGAATTCCCAGGCATTGTCTAGCATAAAACAGTAGAGAAAGCAAGAGAGGCTGGAGTCTGAAAATACACACTGCAATCCCAGATCTTCTCTTCCTGTCATGACTATGTGATTTAGATCAAGCTTCTCTAACTTCTGTTAAGCTTTGCTTACCAAGGGGATTGGACTCTTTGCCTCATTAGGCTATTATAACCATGAGATAAACTAACAAATGGAAGGAACCTAGCAAAATACGCAGCTTACAGTTGGAGAACTCTAGTCCCTTCCTCTCCTTCCATCTCTATCTCTTTATTCTTCTTTTAGTACCTGCTCTTCCTCAAGCAAAAACAAGTCTTCTGGTTGGATTCTCGGAGACAGTGCCATGTCATGACAAGACATGGCTGAGAGGCAGAGGGTCAGCTCAAGGTTTACCACTCAGTGCCTCTGACTTTGGGTCCTTGAGGTTTCTTCTGTTCACCTGTGAAAGGAGTTAAGAACACCTGACTTGTCCAGTGCCCAGAACTGCTGTAAAGCCCAAAGGAGAAAATAATGTGTGTCACTATCCTTTACACATGTCAGGGTGTTTTACAAATTTAGAGATAAGAGTTCTCTTGGACAAACCTGATCCTATCCCCTCCGCCTTGTAAAATGAAGGAACTGGATACCAACCTGTCTCAAGCCCCTTAAGTTCTAAGATTGAAGCACACCGAGAGATGACAGTTCCTCGCCTTTCAAAGGCCTTCATGGACAGAACCGGATCCTCCTTCACAGACAGTATTTGTCTTGAGGCTGTGAGAATAATTTGCATTTATATAATTTGCATTTATATTTCCCTGGGGTCCCATGACCAAGGTGGCTGGTTATCACCGAGTCAACCCTCACCCAGAAAGGTTTTAGAGGCTTCTTCTAGTTCTTGCTTGGGACTGCATGGAGCTCTGTCCTTTCAATAAGGAAAACAGATGAGTCAGAACGTGCCCACAGTGTGATAGATGTACCAGGGAAGCAATTGCGGCTGTAGGTGTGTGAAGTTTATGTCACGTGTACTTCATTGGTGGTTGTATGTTTGTTAGTGGCCTGAAAAAGAGCTGAATTTGCATATGGAGGGTACATGAAATGAGATATTAAAGTATGTAACATTAGTCATTTAAATAAAAATATGACCAACAAATAGAATTTGGATGTTATTGAAATCTTGAAGGTTGGGAGTCTGGCCAACGATGAACAAACATTCCAGAGACATTTGCATTCTCTTCCGTGAGATTTTTCCCAGGCAATTAGAGAGCCTCCTTTTATAAAGAGGATCCCAGCAGGAAAGATGGGTGGTGCCAGCAGCTCTCAAAGCTCTGGCTTGGCTCAGAAGGAGGGTGCGACTTCACTCAGAGACGCGACTGCCAACGTCCCTCTGATCCCATCCCTTCAGGGGAAGAGGAATAGAGTCTTCGGTTAAAAAGTTGAGAGCTCCCGCTTCATAATAAGGTTGCAAGAGGTCAGATATCGTACAAGTGCCAATGGTTATCCACTAACTCTTTGAAAATACAGTTATTTGGTAGGAGAGCAGTGGGGAGACAGATATGACCTATGTTATGACTGGACCCATGGAATAATGATCATAGAAGCAGAGAATGTTAAATTGGAAAGGACCTTGGCAATTGCCCAGTCCAATCCTTTTATTGAAAATTAAGGCCCTGGCCCTGGCTGGTTTGGATCAGTGGTTGGAGCGTCGGCCTGCGGACCAGAGGGTCCTGGGTTCAGTTCCTGCTAAAGGCATGTACCTTGGTTGTAGTTTGTCCCCGGCCCCGGTTGGGGTCTTGTGGGTGGCAACCAGTCGATGTGTCTCTCTCATATCGATGTTTCTCTCTCTCTCCCTCCTCTCTCCCTCCTGTTCTATCTGAAAATAAATGCAAAAATATCCTTGGGTGAGGATTAAAAAAATAAATAAATAAGTAAGAAAATATTCTCCAATGTGTTAACAGTGGTCGATTTGGGATTGAGCAGATGTGGATGATTGTTATTTTCTAGGTGGTTCCCTGTCCTTTTCAAATAAAAATACAAAAACAAGAAACCAGGAAAATGACTTGCCTAAGGTCCCGTAGCAATGTGGAGGCAGAACTTGCCTGGCCCCCAAATCTGTTCACTTTCATTCCTCTGCTTGTCTTGAGGGAGTGGGGTGGAGGGGTGGTGGGGTGGAGGGGCGGAGGGGTGGAGGGTCTATCTGAGGCTAGAACTGGGCTTACAATTTCCAGAATCGTTTTATAAACATTTTTCTTCTGCATAAAACACAACCTTAATCTACGGGAAATGTTAAAAATAAAATGTCAGTTGTAAGCAAATCTCTCATTGCACACCTGGCTCGACAGGGTTAAAACCGCCTGCCCAGGGATAATGTGCAAATGGAACCTGTGTTTGGTTTTCTTAACCCACATCCCACGTAGCCCATCACTTGAGGAAAGAGGAGCACAGCTAATGGGGTGGTAAGAACGCTGTGAATGCCATCCCCCGCACAGGCTCCTGTCTACAGCTTTTGTTCCAGGGTCTCTTCAATAAATATGACTCAGTCTGCTGTTTGGGCTCCGCTTCCCCTGCGCTCCGCTGTGCCTGTCATGCATGACTCAGGAGGCATGTTCAGGGGCCCCTCGGGTCCTGCTGCCTCTCATCTCCCCCGCTGACCAAGCTCCCCTCTGCTTGTCTGAGCGCTGAGATCCTCCGCCCACCCCAGCTTTCAAAGCACCAATTAATGCGGATGGGGGTCACCGCTACCTCCCCATTAAAAAAAAAAAAAAAAAAAAAAGTGCTGTACACTTATCTTGACAAACTGCCGAAGTGCTTTTTCTCTCACCTACTCGTCTGCAAAACGTGTCGTCTCCAGCATGTGCGTGATACCCGGAACGCCAAGTGAAGGTCAAAACGTGTTCTTGTGAACAAGGAAAACAAAAGACAGGAAAACCTCCCAATCACCTCTCCTCCGGTAAATGCTTGTTAGAGCAAGAACATTATACACTTAATGTGCAGAGAGGCTGGGTCATCTGGGCCAGCCCACACTTGTGAACTTGTTTGGGCTGGAATAGTCAAGATAGGAGCTTTAGTTTATTTGGACTGAACTCAAGGCAATAGTAAAATGTCCCAGCATTTTCTTTTTTACTCTTTTTTTTTTGGTACGTGCCCCTAGTGGGAACCAAACCCAGGACTCTCTGGTCTGCAGGTCGATGCTCCAACCGCTGAGCCAAACCGGCCAGGGCTCCCAGCTTTTTCTATAACAAAAATAACCAAAAGCATTAAATAAGAAGCATGGGGTCTCCTTCCCCTAAGCCACCGAGGCCACAGTCACCTCAAGGAGGTAGTGAAGCAGAAAACTGCCTGCTCAGGGGGCTGCTGATGTAGGCTCAAACGATTTCTGTAGCACCCTCTATGAGAGAGGCCCAGAAGGGCTGGAGCACAAATTTGCCATGAGCTACACATCAGTGGGGTTGTTAATGTTGGAGGCTGTGCTCTATGAGATGCCCAAGATAAAGGCAATGGGACTACCATGGCTAGCCAGCGAGTCGCCCTTGGTTTGGGGGATGCCATGCCCTGTCTCAGAAGGGACTGTTGTTTGCCAGGACGTCTGGGATGGAGCACCCACTGCCTGGCCATCTGCTGTAGGATTTTTCTCCCTCCTTCTCCTTTCTTCTCATGGGATAAGAAGGGCTCGTCTTGGCCTAATTGTACATGTTGACCTCTGAGTATGAGGAAGCAAAGTCCCTGATGCATTTATTCACATGGGAGTTTTCTCTCTCTCTCTCTCTCTCTCTCTCTCTCTCTCTCTCTCTCTCTCGCGCGCGCGCACACACACACACACACACACACACACACACACACACACACACTTTGGTCACACAGCACATCCCCATCCTACCCTGTAATGTCAGATCAGATTTGGACCAGTCCTGGAATCAATGAGGCACTTTAGTGGTTGGGTTGTTCTATGGCGATGCGGCTTTGAAGGTGTGATTTCCCACAGTCCAGCTGCTTGAGGAGCAACAGCCTGAGCATGCCAACTCATTTAGCCTTATCAGTCACCGAGACCCGACCAACGGTGGCTCTGGAAGATGTTTCCCGAGAGCGGGAGAAGTACAGCAGCAGACACAAGCCTACCGTTGACGACGAAGTGAGAACAGGAAGGCCCCGCGCACCTGTTAGTTTCATTGTCAGTACTCGTATCGTTGCATATGGCAGGAGCCTCAAAGAGGGGATTTGCTGTCTACAAACTCAAACTAAAAGATTCAGGAAGCAGCTCAACTCAGGGACGACTGCAACTAAGAGTCTAAACACCGCCAAGTGCCCCTGTGCCTGCCCTCTGCCTCTCCGGCTCTCTCTTGTATGTTGGCTTCATCCTTTCAGGGCAACTTCTGTAAAAGGCAGAAGGTGTAGCTCTCATCCACAGCCTTCTCAACCACAGGAGAAAGCTTCTTTCCCTAAGCTGAAGTTTTAAAAATGCCAAAAAAGAACTCTGATTGTTTCAGCTAAGATCACGTGTCCAGTTCTGGACCAATCGCCCTGGCCGGGAGGGTGGGGAGCCATGCTTGTCCCAGTTTGAGTAATGCATACATCCTGTGGGCCAGACCACAGAGATGAGGTAGCCGAGATGGTCTCACGATGGCAGCCCCTGCTAGAACTAGCCAGTTGCCATGGGAGGAGGAACGCGTCCCCGAAAAGACTGTGAGTTGAATTCCTTTGAAGGGGGAGGAGGTCTAGGCACACAAAACAGCTGTGGTCCCCTGCCACACATGTGCCAGCTTTGGTCATGTAGCAGTCTGTGATCTGTGGTAAGCAGGTATGTGTGTCTGTTGGGAGGACTGTTAAATTTGAGAAATGCAGGGAAATGGTGACATCTAAAGTGCTGGGGAAGTGGCAGTGTATAATTATGTTCTGGTTCTGAACTATATAAAACCTGTCAGAAAGAAGGTCAGGAATTATATGTCAATAAATCATTTACATACTGTTAGGCTGTTTGACAATAGTTAATAAATAAAAGAGATAAGTGAGCGTGTCTTCTTGGTCATGTTGGCCTGCTTATAAGATTTAAAAGACCAGGTCACGTGTTTACAGGCTGTTCTTTCTTTCCTGAGCTTGAATGCAATGTTAGTGATGGCCTTCCCACAGAATTGGCCCTGATTTTGTAGTTGTTGTTGTTGTTAATCCTTACCCATGGATATTTTTCCATTGATTTCTAGAGAGACCGGAAGGAAGGGAAGGAGGAAAGGAAGGAGAGAGAGAGAGAGAGAGAGAATCAATTGGTTGCCTCCCACACAACCCCAACTGGGACCAGGGATTGAACCTGCAATCCACATATGCACCCTTGACCAGGAATGGAACCCGGGATTCTGTGGTCTGTGGGCCAATGCTCTAACCGCTGAGCCAAACTGGCCAGGGCGGATTTTTTTTTCACCTTATTGTATTGTGTCTGTCTGAAATTGAAAAACAATCTTGCCCTTCCATCTTGAGTGAATGGTGTTCTTAGAATAAATGACTATTTTTGATTCTGCCTTTTAACTCTTCAGACCATACTTTGCCCTTGTTTAAAGGGAGTCTTAATGTTTTAATACAGGTGGGTACCTAATAATGGCCTTCCAAAGCTGCCCATATCTTAATCCAATCACCTGTGCATTTGTTAATTTACATGGCAAAGAGATTTTGCAGGTGCGATTAAGTTAGGACTCTTGAGATGGGGGAGTAATCCTGGATTATCAGTGTGGACCTAATTTATCACAGCGTCCTTATAAGAGTGAGGTAGGAGGGTCAGAGAAGGAGAGAACAGAAGGAAATGTGACAACAGAAGCAGAAGTTAGAGAGAGAGAAAGTATTGAAGATATTACTCTGCTGTCTTTGAAGATGGAGGAAGGGACCATAAGCCAAGGAATACACGGTTTCTAGAAGCTGAACAAAGCAAAGAAAAGGATTCTTCCATAGAGCCTCCAGAAGGAACATGACCTGATGACACCTTAATTTTGGGACTTCTGGCCTCCCGAACTGTAAGACACATTTGTGTTGTTTTAAGCCACGGAGTTTGTGGTAATTTGATACAGCAGCAGTAGAAAACTAATACAACTACCTTTCTGGTAAGCAACTTGGCAACATGTACTAAGAGACACAAGATTTTATGCTTCTGACTCTGTCATTCTACTTCTAGGACTCTCTCCCAATGAAACAATCAGATATGCAGAAATGTACTTATCTGCTCAGATGTTCATCACAATATTATCTATAATAGCAAAACCTTGGAACTACCTGAGGCCCCTACTGGTGATCTTACCTTTATTTCAGTCACAACATTTCAAATAAGAAAACAAGGCCCACTGGATGGTGGTCATCTGCCATTAAGATGCTGCTTCTAGAATGTGTTGTAATCACAGGTGGGAATGGCCTGTGTTAGAAAATGCTGTCAATCTACTGATTCAACAAATACTGTTGAGCATGCTGGGACCTGAGCCGGGGGTATAGACACCAAGAACACATGGGATAATGGGAGGTGCAGAAACCTGGCCAGAAAGATGGCTATCAACACAAAGGCTTCAGAAAAGGTGACGTGCCACTTAAAACTTGAAGGATCAGCAGGAATGAGCCACAACTGAAAAGTCGATTTATGGAGTGTAGCTGTTTCCCCATGCTGTGCACGTGGTACCTGAAAGTGGAGATAGATCTGGCACTCACCAGGAGTTCAGAAGGCTCTGCAGCTTGAAGCAGGACTAGCAGCCCTCTTGTTAAAGAGCTATAGAAAAAGACTAGAAACAACCTAGATACCCTTCAGTGGGTGACTGGTATAGCTATGCCATGAAATACTACTCAGCAATGAAAAGGAATGAACTATTGACACATGCAGTAACCCGGATGGATCTCAGGGACATTATGTGTCGTGAAAATGAGTCACTCTCAAAAGGGTTCATACTGTATGATTCCAAAAGTGTAACATTCTTAAAAGGACAAAACTATAGGGATAGAGAACAAATTAGTATAGTCATGTGTCTTTTAACTATGAGAATACGTTTTGAGACGTGCTGTTAAGCAATTTCGTCGCTGTGTAAATACCACAGTGCACTTACACAAACCTAGATGGTATAGCCTAACGCTCGCCTAGGCTGTATGGGCTAGCCTGTTCTTCCTAGGCTACGAGCCTGTACAGCGTGTTACTGAACAAAATATGAGATTAAATCAAGCCCAAGAGAAAATGATGTAAACATGAGATGAACAAGGCTGCTGCAGGCGTAACGTGGCATACTGCTTTACGGCAACCTTTTTAAAAAAAAAATAAGTAGAAAGAGTACACTCTGAAATAACAATAAAAATACTGTAGTAAGCATATAACATACTATGTACTGTACATAATTGTATTGCTACACTTTTCTATGACCGGCAGAGTAGTAGGTTTGTTTGCACAGCATCACGACAAACGTGAGTAATTTATTACACCACAATGTCATTAAAGCTATGACACTTCTAGACAATAGAAATTTTCTTTAGCTCCATTGTAATCTTATGTGATCACCATCATATGTGTGGTTCGTCATTGAATGAAACTGTTATGTGATGCATGACTAAAGTTGCAGAAATGAGGAGGCAGGTATGACTATATGGAGGTAACACAAGAGAGTTCTTTATGGTGATAGATCAGCTCTGTGTCTTGACTGCAGAGTAGTTACACAATTATATACATGGGATAAGATTGCAGAGAACCACACACACACACACACACATCCATGTTTTAAAAAATGGTGAAAATGGAATGAGGTCTGTTGTCTCACCAGAGTATAATACCAATGCCAGTTTCCTGGTTTTGCTATTATAATACAAGATGTCACCATTAGGGGAAGATGATGGGTCAGGGTACACAAGACTCTGTGCGCTATTTTTGCAACTTCCTATGAGTCTATAGTTATTTAAAAATAAAAGCTTAAAAAATAACCACAGACTAAAATTCCTCTGCCTGATGACACTTCTGTCCCCAAGCATTTTTTCACTACTCAAATAGTTCCAGGTCCATTTCAGCTGGTGTTTGAATACCTCATGCTTCCCTATCCCTTCTAGACGTCTGCTCATGGTCACATAGGACAGGTAGCAACTGACAGCGGAGGATTTCCTTCCAAATGCCCAGCACACTGGGCCCGCCTTCCCCCTCAACAACGGCCAGGAGCAGCATTTCCCAACCACCAGCCTGCAAGGAGGTTGGCTGTGTTTGTGAGACACCCTGGGCGTGTTGAAAGAGTCTGGCTTTCTTCTCTCTCCTTTACCAGCTCTGGATGAGGGACCAGAAATGGCCTGTAAACAGACTAGAGGGAGGAGGAGCCTTTGTTGAAGGGGAGATTTGGGTGAAATGAAGAGAAGATCGTTAAGATTGAGAGCGACAGCAGGTAGGCACTCTGGCCTAATGGAAACAGCACAGGCTTGAAGTACTATCCGAATTCATTCATTTATTCAAGCAGGTGTCTGTGTTCAGTCTGCTACCAGAAATACCACAAACAACAGTCCCGGAGGCTGGGAAGTCCAAGATCAAGGCACAGGCAGGTTCAGTGTCTGCTGAGGACTGGCTTTCCAGTTTGCAGACAGTTTTCTTTGTTCTGTGTCCTCACTTGGTGGTGAAAGGGGCAAGGAACCTCTCGGGACACTGGCCCCATTTAGGAGAGCCCCACCTTCAAGACTTAGTCACCTGCTGAAGACTCCACCTCCTAAAACCATCGCCTTTCAGTAAGGATTTAACATATGGGTTTTGGGGGATATAAACATTCAGTCTATTTATCAAGCGCCTACTCTGCGCCGGGCATAGTTTCACACATTGGGTAAAAATGGTTCCTAGCTTCATGGAGGTTACATCAGATGGTCTGAATTTAAGCTCGGTTGCTCACCAGTCTTGTGATCCCTAAAAAGTCACTTAATATCTTTGAATTTTCGTTTCTTTTCTTTAAATTGGGGTTATTAATCCAACGTCTTTGGATTTCTGTGAGGTTCATGAGATGGTGCATAAGTGCGGGGCAGTGTCTTAAAATGTACAGGTGTTCAGTTTTTACACTAGTTCTCACTGTTCTCTCTCTTTGCTCACCTTCTATATGGATTGCTTATGACTGGTGGAAGCTGGATTCCACCAGGGGCAGCCCAGGGCTGTTGGCAAAGCTCAGTATTGTATGTGTTGTTCAGTTAAATGCAGGGGTGTCTGCACAGTTCTATAGAGCTCAGGACAGATGAAGTTGGACAGGGAAAAAAATTCTGATTTTGTATTTCTGTTCATTTTTTCTTTCTATTTTTAATTATCTATGTTTGGTGTGTTTATCATTGTATCTTCTTGGTGAATTTTTCCTTGTTAAAATCACTCCTCCTCACAATCATATTTTCAATTCTTTTTCTGCGTGTTTGTTATTTCTAGCGTGTTTGTTATTTTATGTAGCTATATCAACTTTCTTTCACTTAGTATTTGTCTGGCTTATGTGTTTCTATCCCCAATTCTCAACTTTTCTGTGTCTTAATGTTTTAGGTCTGTTTCTTGTAAACTATATATAGCCGGATTTTAAAAAAATTGAATCTAAAGGCAATTTAAGCTTTATAAAATTTATTAAGACTTGTAATATATTTAGCACATTTCTACAGCATTATTTTAGATTTTCCACACTTGACCCTCGTCTTTCTCCCACCTTGTTACCTTTCATTGGATTGGTTGTGTTTCTTTTATTTCT